GTAGAAGAGCTATTAAACACATCAGTGTTATAGAGACTGGCAGCCAAAATCGACCTTGACATGAAGTCCAGTGGTAATTAAACTCGTTGTGCACTGTGTGGGTTGTTGTAAGAGCACCATATTCAGTAACACATGAATAGTTCCCATTGCTGTCAAAGGTAACCGACGATGAAAATATCCACCAAAAACAAGAGAGACTGGCATGAGCAGGAGAGAGGGTTTCCCTTCAGCCTCAGGACCAGCTTGTTCTTCTGTCCGAGACTCTCCAACATATCCATTGTGTCGTCGTCAAAGTAGGTGATGGAGTTCACTGATAGGTCCAGGATGTGCAGGTCAGGCAGGTCATTGTTTTCAAAAGGAACAGACACAAGGTTATTTCTGGACACATTCAGACTAATCAGTGTCCTGATGGACCCCATATCCATATACCGTATGTCATTCCCTAATATCTCTAAATAACGTAAAGCATGCATCGTCTCTAGTCCCTCCAGTACTGACCCTCCTCTTCTGAGTGTTTCCTTGTCGAAGCCCATATTGTTCAATGCAAGAGACGTCATATTTGGAAATGAGAGCAAGAAATCTTTTGTCATACCCCTACCTTCATTGCCAGAAAGATCGACTTCATTTAAGAAGCTCAACCCGTTAATTTGCTTTACAAAGCCCCACGCTCCATTGTAGGACAGATCTAATTTTGCTAAATGTGACGAACCTGTAATACCCGTTATAAAAAACTCCCCAAAATAACTAGTTATTCCCCTTAATATACAGATACGTAGATTAGGAAGAAAACGTATTCCCGCCCCTACTGATTCTAACTTTGATACAGAACAATTTTCGGGACTAATTCTGTGCCTATAAAGATTATAGAGTCCGTTGTCAGTCACTTTTATTTGAGATTTTAAACTGCCTTGTCCTAAGTCATACCTGCGTTTAATAAATTTATGTTGATCAGAAGCATCTAAAAACAACAGATGTTTACATAAACTCATTTGGAGAAATATAGCTTCATCCCCTAAAATATTGTTATTTGATAAATCTAGATATTTAATACAACGCGAAAGGACAAGTATTGAATTTTCAGCAAGGTAAATAATGTTGTTATAGCTGAGATCCAGATGTTCGATGCAAATATGTGTCAGATAAATTAGTGTTTCCTTGGTTATAAGCTGGCTTTGAAGGTTTCGATTTCGACTGACATATTTGTTGGAATTTCTCATGAGAACTTGAGATACGTTTTTACCATTAAGGCCATAGAACGCACGTAGAGCCATAGCAGTTGGTAAGGTCATTACGTTTTCCAGAACTATTTTGGAAATATTTTTGAAAGGTAGAAATGCTCCAGCATGAATTGCAAGAAGTTTGGAATCTTTTACATTCAGCACCTGTACAGATGTATTCTCAAAAACGGAGAATGTGTGGTTTTGTAAAACGGTAATAGCACTGTAAATACAGTCATCATCAGATCCAGTCCCTATATTCAAAGTTACCAGTTTTTGCAAATACCCAAATCCACTTCCAAATATTTCTCGTTGGAACGTATCAATTGTCAGTGTTTCTAAATTTATTAACCATTTGAATATCCAATCCGGAGTAGTTCCTCTTATACGGCAGTCGTTGTTACCAATGTTCAACCCTGTAAGACTTTGTAGAGGACGGAAGACATCTTCTGGATAGGTCTGATTGTCCAGTTGGAGATTATTGTTATTAAGGCGTAAACTGAGAAGGAGGAATAAACTTTTAAATGCGTTTGCTTCCAACCGTGATACTTGACAGTTTACAATGTTCAAATACAACAATCGGGGAAGACGCACAAACGCCTGGTCCCTGAGAACCGTTATGTTGTTCCCGCTGAGTTCCAGACTGACAGTGTTGGGAGGGAGATCACCAGGAACAGAGGTAAGGTTAAGGTTCTGACAGTCAACACGGCTGCCACCAAGCTGGGGGTCTGGCTTTATTTGACATGTCTTCTGGCTTGCAGAAGAGGTCACATTTAGTATCAGGATAAGGCCACAGATGATCTTCATTGTGATGGCAATTTGAAATGACCTCAGGTCTGCTCCGTGTTGCAGGTCTTGTTGTCAGTTTTAGTTGGAGCCTGGAATGTTTGAAAAATTGGTCACAAGGCTCACGACATCATACATGTCAAAATGCAGTATAATAAAATGTAAACAAGAATGCGCCAAAGTTGCCTTCCTACGAGCATCCACATCGGATTACACTCAATCAGTCATATGCTTACTTGAGGACTGAACTTAAGTATCAAAGTGATTGCTATGGATGGGGAGTCTGGACTAATTTAACTTTTTGACAGAACTTCAGTTATACCACGGATTATCAGCATAATGCAACAGTGAGAATCTAAGGGACGGACCATTTGATATTCTGGTGGAGGCCTGGGATTTTTATTCGAGTCCCTTTACAAGTTTAGTAAAAAAAATGAAACGTTCGCTCGTCATGCCGTACAATGTGTGACCCCCATGTCTGGTGTACCCCACAGTGATATTGCTGGTTAATTGCGTAAAGCGGCGTTAAATCAAACTCACTCGCATCGCCAGAGAATAACCAAATCCGCACGCACATGTTGCGTCTACGACAGTTAAACTATTGCACAGGGTAACACTTAATGGTGGGTTCAGCTATCCTAAACCGCTTATATGTCCGTCCGAGAAAGTACGTTTTCACAAACGTTACAGGAAACAAATTTAATGCGAGTCATCAATACGAAGCCAAAGCAAGCTTTTACAAAACAATAAATTTCCTGAACTGTTTAGTGAAAACACGCATGTTTGGAACAACATAAACCATATTAATTTCAATTCATTCCCTGTTGTCCCCTTGCGCAGTGTTTTTGACTTCTATGCGATTACCTCCCTAACATACTGAATTTGATAAACACTGTCTTTCAACAGTATGTGAGCGCAGTAGCCTATTCAGGCTTTTTTCTCATCCGATGTCTACATCCTACTACATATAGGACACATTGTAATGTGTTCGCAGATGATTATCTGTCTGTCTGTCTGTCTGTCCGTCTCTAGCTCTCCCACTCTCTCTCCCTCTCTCTCCCCTCTCTCCTCTCAATCTCTCTCTCCCCCTCTCTCCTCTCTCTCGCTCTCTCCCTCTCTCTTCCTCTCTAGCTCTCCCTCCCTCCCCCTCCCTCCCCTCTCTCTCCTCTCTCTTTCACACTCTCTCTCTCTCTCTCTCTCTCAAGCTCTCTCACTCTGTGTGTGTGAATCAGAGATTCGTATATGTATATTAACAACTAACAGATAAACAATACCCTGTAACATTGGTTTCAATAGACGTACCTGCTACCATGCTCCTCGCACTGAATCCAAACAAATCCTCACCTCATTTGTGACCCTGTTTAAGTGAAACTGTAGAACTACTTCCGCCTAACACATACACGTGAAACTGTAGAACTACTTCTGCCTAACACATACTGTTGCGTGTTAATGTCCATGTTTCGCTAGGGCTGATGGTTAAAAGGAACAGATGCATTTACCATCATCATCTTCGCCTAAATCCAACAATCCCAGTTTTCACAATGATATAAGAACTACTTAAAAAAGGATATGATCATTATTGTTCTAATTAAAATCCTCAAAGTTTTATTTTTAAGTCTTACATAACTCAACTTAGTTTCTAAAAAGCCCAGACTCAGCTATGTTAGAAAATACTAGTTTCAATCTTAAACACCTCATTGGCGAAAATAACAGTGTTTTGTATTTAACATGTTCTACCTGATTTTACTATAAAAGATTTGTGTCATAACAATATTTATGAACGAAATTATGCCAATGAATACAACTTCTTATGGTAGGCTGGCTTAAAAAGCAGGAGCTTATGTTGAAACTACGTTTGGGAATGTATTGGGCATTGTCCAATGCGGGCGAAATCTATTTGCTTGGCTGGCCAGTGTTAGATTTACAAATTTAGTCACTGGCATCTAAATGCGGAGTCAGGATTTTAGAAAATATGTATATTTTCGAAATAGTATGAAGTATCATGATTGAAATAGGTTTCATAATATTTTATTTCTTAAAAAAAGAATTCTTCCCATTCTATTTCATAAAATGTCAAAGTTTATGTCTATTTGGTAACTACGTACTCCAGTCTGTTTCGTTTTTTTCAATGATCATAGTTTTCGTTTTTCCCGGTGTTCTCCACACATAGCCCACGTGAGGTCCATGTGGGGTTTGACATTTTTACGATATGGCAGCAAAAAATCATAATTTCCCCGTTATAATCGCACGATGTTTGTTTAATATCAGTCTGCAACCCAATCTGTGCCCCACCACGAAAACAATGACGTAGCACTCACCTGACCTATCACGTATCACACCTGTGAACCTAGTACAACCTACTACGTAGCACACACCTGTACACACTTGACATTCACAATGGCGGAATATTTGATGATTTTTGATCTGAATAGTTTCGTGAATACTGTACATAAATGACAAACGACTATATCAGGTGAAATTACATTTAATTTCTCAATTATTCTCACCTTATACAAATAATAATTGTCTTTGACGACATGAATCTTAAGCTCAGATTGTTAATCGCTAAAAATGCGATGTAACGTGCGTATTGTTGAAACACTGAGTCTCCGGAGAAGTGAATTGCCATTTTTCTGTAATGTCATTTTACCAAAATAGAATTCTTCGATATTTATCGATTATTGATCGATATGTGACTACCGATAATCGATCTGAGTAATCCATAACGATAACCAGCCCTAGAAATTATAAGATGTATATCACGGCGGGAATAAAGTAGAGAAATACTTCTGGAAAATATGCTTCCTTGTTTGGGTTGGAATAACAGTAAAACCAATTACCAGGGTTCGTGTTCGTCCTCGTTATTTCTGACTCCCGTGTGAAAAATCAGTATCGGACTCTATAAGGACAAATACTTGTAACACACTTAACATAACGATTCTTTCAATAGGCGTACCTGCTACGACGTTTCTCACAAGGAATAAACAAAGCCCTTACCCCTCTCGTGTCCTGGTTGAGGCTGGTTGATAAACATTTCCAAACCCAATGCTAGTGACATCCTGCTGCACATAGGACACATACTGATTCTTCGGATAGTGTGTATAACATAACATTTGCTTCAATAGACGTTCCTGCTCTCATGTTCCTCGCGTTGGGTGACCATGGTTATGTGCAACTGGTGTATAAATACTTGTGCGTTGATGTGTGTACAATGTACATATATTGCGAGGGCTGAGTCATCTCAAAGCATAGGATTTTGTAAGAGGTGGATGTGGCACATATTGCACATGATGAAACTAACCTTCAGTGAATGTATGTGTTTACACAAGGGCGCCGTATTCTGGCTGTTTGTGTGTGCGCGTCATAAGACCATTTCAGCTGAGGGCAGTTGAGGGGGCATGCAAGTATTTCAACAACATGTGGTGGGACGAGTACTTCAACAGCATGTGGTTGGACGGGTATTTCAACAAGATGTGGTCGGACGAGTATTTCAACAACAGGGGATCGGACGACTGTTTCAACAACAAGGGGTCAGACAAGTATTTCAACAACAGGGGGTCAGACGTATATTTCAACAACAGGGGATCGGACGACTGTTTCAACAACAGGGGGTCCAACGTATATTTAAAAAAAAGGGGTGTCAGACGTATATTTCAACAACAGGGGGGTCACACGTATATTTCAACAACAGGGGTAAGACGTATATTTCAACAACAGGGGGTGTGACGTATGTTTCAACAACAGGGTTCAGGCATTTTATTTTAACAATAGGGGGTCGGACGTCTATTTCAAAAACAGGGGGTCAGACGTATATTTCAACAACAGGTGGTCAGACGTATATTTCAAGAACAGGGGGTCAGACGTATGTCAACAACAGGGGCTCAGACAAGTATTTCAACAACAGGGGGTCAGACAAGTATTTCAAAAACAGGGGGTAAGACGTATATTTCAAAAACAAGGGGTCTGACGTATATTTCCAAAACAGGGGGTCAGACGTATATTTCAACAACAGGGGGTCTGACGTATATTTCAACAACAAGGGGTCTGACGTACGTTTCAACAACAGGGGGTAAGACATTTTATCTCAACAAGAGGAGGTCAGACGTTTATTTCAACAACAGGTGGTCAGACGTTTATTTCAAAAACAGGGGGTCAGACGTTTATTTCAACAACAGGGGGTCACACGTATATTTTAACAACAAGGGGTCAGACAAGTATTTCAAGAACAGGGGGTCAGACGTATATTTCAACAACAGGGGGTCAGACGTTTATTTCAAAAACAGGGGGTCAGACGAATATTTCAACAACAGGGGGTCTGACGTATTTTTCAAAAACAGGGGGTCAGACGTATATTTCAACAACAGAGGGTCTGACGTATATTTCAACAACAGGGGCTCAGACAAGTATTTTAAAAACAGGGGGTCAGACGTTTATTTGAACAACAGGGGGTCAGAGGTTTATTTCAAAAACAGGGGGGGGGGGGGGGGGGGGGGGGGTCACACGTATATTTCAACAACAGGGGGTCAGACAAGTATTTCAAGAACAGGGGGTCAGACGTATATTTCAACAACAGGGGGTTCAGACGTTTATTTCAAAAACAGGGGGTCAGACGTACATTTCAACAACAGGGGGTCTGACGTATATTTCAACAACATGGGCTCGGAAAAGTATTTCAAGAACAGGGGTTCAGACGTATATTTCAACAACAGGGGGTAAGACGTACGTTTATTTCAACAACAGGGGGTCATATGTATATTTCACCAACAGGGGGTCAGACGTTTATTTCAAAAACAGGGGGTCAGACGTATATTTCAACAACAAGGGGTCAAACATATATTTCAACAACAGGGCTCAGACGTTTATTTCAACAACAGGGGGTCAGACGTTTATTTGAAAAACAGGGGTTCAGACGTATATTTCAACAACAGGGGGTCAGATGTTTATTTCAACAACAGGGGGTCAGACGTATATTTCAACAACAGGGTGTCAGACGTATATTTCAACAACAGGGTGTCAGACGTTTATTTCAACAACAGGGGGTCAGACGTATATTTCAACAACAGGGGGTCAGACGTATATTTCAACAACAGGGTGTCAGACGTATATTTCAACAACAGGGGGTCAGACGTATATTTCAACAACGGGGTGGTCAGACGTATATTTCAACAACAGGGGGTCAGACGTATATTTCAACAACAGGGGGTCAGACGTATATTTCAACAACAGGGGGTCACACGTATATTTCAACAACAGGGTGTCAGATGTATATTTCAACAACAGGGGTCAGACGTATATTTCAACAACAGGGGGTCAGACGTATATTTCAAAAACAGGTGGTCAGACGTATATTTCAACAACAGGGGGTCAGACGTATATTTCAACAACAGGGGGTCAGACGTATATTTCAACAACAGGGGCTCAGACGTATATTTCAACAACAGGTGCTCAGACAAGTATTTCAAGAACAGGGGTACAGACGTATATTTCAACAACAGGGGGTAAGATGTTTATTTAAAAAAAACAGGGGGTCAGACGTATATTTCAACAACAGGGGTGAGACGTTTATTTCAACAACAGGGTGGTCACATGTATATTTCAACAACATGGGGTATGACGTATATTTCAACAACAGGTGGTCAGACGTATATTTCACCAACAGGGGGTCAGATGTATATTTCAAGAACAGGGGGTCAGACGTTTATTTCAAAAACAGGGGGGTCAGACGTATATTTCAACAACAGGGGTCAGACGTATATTTCAACAACAGGGGGTCAGACGTATATTTCAACAACATTGGGACGTGTAAGGATCGGAATAAATTTCAATGTCAATTCATCCAAGATCAAAAGTTTTATTCACATTCTCATTTCCATTCTCATTCTCAATTGTACATATGTCATATGTCAAACATCATATTTCATGGAGAATATAATTCAATTTTATTGTTAGTTCATGTTCAAATAAAGTTCATAATATTTATCACATCTTATCATCATCAATTATTAACAAATACCCAAAACCTTATCCTCGATCGAGTTGGAAGATTGACTGCAAAGGAAAAATAAACAATAATAAGTTTGCAGTTCCATATGTAAACAAAACAATAACAAAGTAGAAAAATTACTGAAACAACAAAAGTTGACAAAAGACATTAAATTGTACCAAAATAATTACAAGAGCTTTTGCACAGAAAGAAAATGCATAATATAATGTTATATGATGCAATTTAAATTGAAAATACTTGATGAAAATACAACTTTAAATTAACTAGAATGTAAACATTAGTGATTGAAAACTGAACACATTTTCTTTACGTCAGAAAAATAAGTTACAAATACAACATTTTGGGAATTAAAATTGCTACAGAAATATATTGACAATGGAAAAGAAATGCATGAAAACACACCATTTTGGCAGACCCATATTCTTTTAATTCATTCTTTTCTTATTTTTGACCGCATGGGTCCTAATTCTCTCAATCCATTAACTAAAAAGCATGGCATGAAGCCTTAACAGGCTTACCTCCCTTGGTATCCTGAAGCATACATAAAATAACACTCTTTTTACTGTTAAATTTGGAATGAAAATTGAAGAACATTTTAAACTTTAATAATTTGGAAAAAATAATAAAAATTATTTTAGAGATGCTATTTTTTTTACCGTAACAGGACGAGTATTTCGACAACATGTGTTGGGACGAGTATTTCAACAACATGTGGTGGAACGGTTATTTCGACAACAGGGGGGGGGGGCAGACGAGTATTTCAACATGTGTTTGGACGAGTATTTCAACAACATGTGTTTGGACCAGTATTTCGGGGCACTCAGCCATCAGATTCCATCTCTCTGGCAACACAGGGATGCAACCTTCGGGAAATAGGTTGCCCAATTTCGCCATCTCTTTCAACCAGCAGGTGGATAAAAGGGGCAACCCCCAGTCCCTGGGTCCCCACGGGCAAATAGTATAAGTATATTTCATGCAGTAACTGTTCAAATAAATAACATAGTTTGGATATGACAGAACCAGATGATTTATACTACACAAAAAGGGTTTTAGTCAGTGACATATTTTGCATTCAACCTATACTGCTTGTGTCAGAATTCTGTCCCTTACATGGACCCATACATCACTGTGAGGATCAGGGAAGTCATCAAGTTGGATGATATCCTCCTCGTCAGTTACATTCAGCAGCAGTTCAGGAAGTCGACCACGGTTCACGTTTCCCACCATGAGCAGAATCACTCTGTTAGGGTTGAGGTTGGAAATGTAGTAAGCTGTTGACTTAATGATAAAGTAGGACCAGGGGTCATCCAGGAAATCGTCGGACACAACCAGTACTGTCTTCCAGCTTTTGTTAATGCTTTCTACAACATGGTCAGCTACAAACTGACCAGGTAGGAAATCTCTGTGGGGCAGAATAAGCTTCAGTCCAAGTAGATCCTCCAGTCCTATACGTAGATCTTGCATAACAAACTGAAGCTCTTCATCCGAGTGGGCTACGTAAGCATCTTTGTTGAAGTTTTGTCTAGTGACCCGCTGGATCCCACGACCCATGAGTACCAAAATGTGATGTGCAATCCTTGTCCAGTTCCGTGACACCAGCATGGCAGACACAAGTAGAAGAGCTATTAAACACATCAGTGTTATGGAGACTGGCAGCCAAAATCGACCTTGACATGAAGTCCAGTGGTAATTAAACTCGTTGTACACTGTGTGGGTTGTTGTAAGAGCACCATATTCAGTAACACATGAATAGTTCCCATTGCTGTCAAAGGTAACCGACGATGAAAATATCCACCGAACAAACAAGAGAGAATGGCATGAGCAGGAGAGAGGGTTTCCCTTCAGCCTCAGGACCAGCTTGTTCTTCTGTCCGAGACTCTCCAACATATCCATTGTGTCGTCGTCAAAGTAGGTGATGGAGTTCACTGATAGGTCCAGGATGTGCAGGTCAGGCAGGTCATTGTGTTCAAAAGGAACAGACACAAGGTTATTTCTGGACACATTCAGACTGATCAGTGTCCTGATTGAACCCATATCCATATACCGTATGTCATTCCCTACTATATCTAAATAACGTAAAGCATGCATCGTCTTTAGTCCCTCCAGTACTGACCCTCCTCTTCTGAGTGTTTCCTTGTCGAAACCCATATTGTTCAATGCAAGAGACGTCATATTTGGAAATGAGAGCAAGAAATCTTTTGTCATCCCCCTACCTTCATTGCCAGAAAGATCGACTTCATTTAAGAAGCTCAACCCGTTAATTTGCTTTACAAAGCCCCATGCTCCATTGTAGGACAGATCTAATTTTGCTAAATGTGCCGAACCTGTAATACCCGTTATAAAAAACTCCCCAAAATAACGAGTTATTCCACTTAATATACAGATACGTAGATTAGGAGGAAAACGTATTCCCGCCCCTACTGATTCTAACTTTGATACAGAACAATTTTCGGGACTAATTCTGTGCCTATAAAGATTATAGAGTCCGTTTTCAGTCACTTTAAACTGAGAGTTTAAATTGCCTTGTCCTAAGTCATACCTGCGTTTATTAAATTTACTTTGACCAGAAGCATCTAAAAACAACAGATTTTTACATAAACTCATTTGGAAAAATATAAATGTATTCCCCAAAATATTGTTATTTGACAAATCTAGATATTTTATGCAACGCGAAATGATTAGAAGGAAGTTTTCGTCAAGGTAAATAATGTGGCTATAGCTGAGATCCAGATGTTCGATGCAAATATGTGTCAGATAAATTAGTGTTTCCTTGGTTATAAGCTGGCTTTGAAGGTTTCGATTTAGACTGACATATTTGTTGGAATTTCTCATGAGAACTTGAGATACGTTTTTACCATTAAGGCCATAGAACGCACGTAGAGCCATAGCAGTTGGTAAGGTCATTACGTTTTCCAGAACTATTTTGGAAATATTTTTGAAAGGTAGAAATGCTCCAGCATGAATTGCAAGAAGTTTGGAATCTTTTACATTCAGCACCTGTACAGATGTATTCTCAAAAACGGAGAATGTGTGGTTTTGCAAAACGGTAATAGCACTGTAAATACAGTCATCATCAGATCCAGTCCCTATATTCAAAGTTACCAGTTTTTGCAAATACCCAAATCCACTTCCAAATATTTCTCGTTGGAACGTATCAATTGTCAGTGTTTCTAAATGTATTAACCATTTGAATATCCAATCCGGAGTAGTTCCTCTTATACGGCAGTCGTTGTTACCAATGTTCAACTCTGTAAGACTTTGTAGAGGACGGAAGACATCTTCTGGATAGGTGTGATTGTCCAGTTGGAGATTATTGTTATTAAGGCGTAAACTGAGAAGGAGGAATAAACTTTTAAATGCGTTTGCTTCCAACCGTGATACTTGACAGTTTACAATGTTCAAATACAACAATCGGGGAAGACGCACAAACGCCTGGTCCCTGAGAACCGTTATGTTGTTCCCGCTGAGATCCAGACTGACAGTGTTGGGAGGGAGATCACCAGGAACAGAGGTAAGGTTGAGGTTCTGACAGTCAACACGGCTGCCACCAAGCTGGGGGTCTGGCTTTATTTGACATGTCTTCTGGCTTGTAGAAGAGGTCACAGTTAGTGTCAGGATAAGGCCACAGATGATCTTCATTGTGGAGGCAGTTTGAAATGACCTCAGGTCTGTTCCGTGTTGCAGTTCTTGTTGTCAGTTTTAGTTGGAGCCTGGAATGTTTGAAAAATTGGGTCACAAGGCTCCCGACATCATACATGTCAAAATGCAGTATAATAAAATGTAAACAAGAATGCGCCAAAGTTGCCTTCCAACGAGCATCCACATCGGATTACACTCAATCAGTCATATGCTTACTTGAGGACTGAACTTAAGTATCAAAGTGATTGCTATGGATGGGGAGTCTGGACTAATATAACTTTTTGACAGAACTTCAGTTATACCACGGATTATCAGCATAATACAACAGTGAGAATCTAAGGGACGGACCATTTGATATTCTGGTGGAGGCCTGGGATTTTTATTCGAGTCCATTTAACTTTACAAATTTTGAAGTCCCGGGGTTTTATACCCGACATGGGTACAGCGGGTGAAGCCCATGTCTGGTGTACCCCGCAGTGATATTGCTGGAATATTGCGTAAAGCGGCGAAAAATCAAACTCGATCTTCCAACCAAACCCGCACGCACATGTTGCGTCAACGACAGTTAAACTATCGCACAAGGTAACACTTTATGGTGGGTTTAGCTATCCTAAACCCCTTATATGTAATCGTCCCTCCGAGAAAGTAAATTTTCACAAACTTTACAGGGAACAAATTTAATGGGAGGCATCAACACGACGCGAAAGGAGGCCTTTACTGAACAATAATTTCCCTGAATTGTTCAGTGAAAACACGCATGTTTGAAACAATATAAACCATATTAATTTCAATTCATTCCCTGTTGTAATCTTACACCATGTTTTTTACTTCTATGCGATTACCTCCCTTACATACTGAATTTGATAAACACTGTCTTTCAATAGTATGTGAGTGCAGTAGCCTATGCAGGCCGGAACTTGATCAAGCTGCATCTCCTTAGTGATGGCCCGACAAGTAGGTACGTATCCCAGTTATTATTGATGTAAATATAAACCTGTGTCTTCTCTGGTAGGCAATTACAAACTATGGCATTTCGTTACTGATTCCGAGCTTGCTACCGATTCAGCCTCTTGGGCATTAGCCCAGATTGAACATTTTTAGAAGTCATTGTAGTAGATAGAGCGTCTATCCAGAGAGCTGAAGGTCGGTGGTTCGATACCTGATAACGTCATACCAAATGACGTCATAAGGTGGTACTTGTTGTTACCCTGTCTGGCGCTATGTATTAAGGAGCTAAAACAAGGACAGGTCGCCTTGGAGTCAGTATACTGTGTCTGAGTTGGGTATCCATGTTAAATCGTGGCATGGTGTCTCAGTTGGCTAACACCCTAAAAACTGCATAAATATTATAAGACGTTTATGCACATCGCAAGTAGTATGTAATAAATGTTTCTTTTTGTTCTTTAAAAATTGGGTATATACTGATATATGCAATAGACCACCGTCCCCCCCCACAATTTACTAACTCATCCCTGCTACCCTTTGTTTGTACAATGCCCACGTCCTGTTTTACTCGACTTTTGAAAATATACATTTTAAATTCAATAACTTGTGAATTTATTTTAATGTTGCTTTCAAAAACTAGTTGTGAAGGCCTGTGAAAAAGTAGTATCGGACTCTTTGAGGACAAACACTTAAGCTCACTTAAAACCTAATGTTTCTTTCAATAGGAGTACCTGCGTTGTTGCTTCTCACCATGAATAAACAAAGTCCTTACCCCTCAAGTGCCCTTGGCTGATTGAGGTTCGTGTATAACTATTTCCTCATCCGATGTCAGACATCCTACTACATATGGGACACATTGTAATGTGTTCGCAGATGATTATCTGTCTGTCTGTCTGTCGCTCCCTCTCTAGCTCTCCCCTCTCTCTCCCCTCTCTCCTTCTCAATCTCTCTCTTCCCTCTCTTTCGCTCTCTCTACTCCCACTCCCTTTCTAGCTCTCCCTCTCTCTCCCCTCCCTCCCCTCTCCCTCCCCTCTCTCCCCTCTCTCCTTCTCAATCTCTCTCTCGCTCTCTCTCCTCCCTCCCCTCTCCCTCCCCTCTCTCCCCTCTCTCCTTCTCAATCTCTCTTTCGCTCTCTCTACTCCCACTCCCTCTCTAGCTCTCCCTCTCTCTCCCCTCCCTCCCGTCTCCCTCCCCTCCCTCCCCTCTCCCTCTCTCCTTCTCAATCTCTCTCTCCCCTCTCTCTCCCTCTCTCTCTCCTCTCTCTCCCTCTCTAGCTCTCCCTCTCTCTCCCCTCCCTACCCTCTCCCTCCCCTCCCTCCCCTGTCCCTCTCTCCTTCTCAATCTCCCTCTCCCCTCTCTCTCGCTCTCTCTCCTCTCTCTCCCTCTCTAGCTCTCCCCTCTCTCTCCCCTCTCTCTCGCTCTCTCTCCGCTATCTCCCTCTCTAGCTCTCCCCTCTCTCTCCCCTCTCTCTCGCTCTCTCTCCTCTATCTCCCTCTCTAGCTCTCCCTCTCTCTCTCCCCTCCCCCCCTCTCCCTCCCCTCTCTCTCTCTCTCTTTCGCTCTCTCTCTCTAGCTCTCTTACTCTGTGCGTGTGTGAGAGTATTCAGTTAATCAGAGAGTCGTATGTATGTATTAACAACTAACAGATAAACAATACCCTGTAACATTGGTTTCAATAGACGTACCTGCTATCACGCTCCTCGCACTGAATCCAAACAAATCATCACCACTTGTGACCCTGCTTAAGTGAAACTGTAGAAATACTTCCGCCTAACACAAACTGCTGCGCGTTAATGTCCGTGTTTCGCTAGGGCTGATGGTTAGAAGGCCGTCGTCTCAGTACAGGCGTTCTGCTTTGCGGTCTCGGGTAAAAAGCTGTTTTATGTAAAATGCTTGGTGGTACCGATGGAACAGAACATTTAAAGGCTAGGCTAAAAATGATTGTTTCAAGTTATGTAGGCTGGGTAACAGTGGGACGTTATCCATTATATACACTGGGTAACAGAGGGACGTTAGCAATTATATACACTGTGGAGCATACCTCGCAAGCCATTATATACACTGGGTAACAGAGGGACGTTAGCCATTATATACACTGTGGAGCATACCTCGCAAGCCATTATATACACTGGGTAACAGAGGGACGTTAGCCATTATATACACTGTGGAGCATACCTCGCAAGCCATTATATACACTGGGGAACAGAGGGACGTTAGCCATTATATACACTGTGGAGCATACCTCGCAAGCCATTATATACACTGGGTAACAGAGGGACGTTAGCCATTATATACACTGTGGAGCATACCTCGCAAGCCATTATATACACTGGGTAACAGAGGGACGTTAGCCATTATATACACTGTGGAGCATACCTCGCAAGCCATTATATACACTGCGTAACAGAGGGACGTTAGCCATTGTATACACTGTGGAGCATACCTCGCAAGCCATTATATACACTGGGTAACAGAGGGACGTTAGCCATTATATACACTGTGGAGCATACCTCGCAAGCCATTATATACACTGGGTAACAGAGGGACGTTAGCCATTATATACACTGTGGAGCATACCTCGCAAGCCATTATATACACTGATTAACAGAGGGAGGTTAGCCATTATATACACTGTGGAGCATACCTCGCAAGCCATTATATACACTGGGTAACAGAGGGACCTTAGCCATTAAATACACTGTGGAGCATACCTCGCAAGCCATTATATACACTGATTAACAGAGGGAGGTTAGCCATTATATACACTGTGGAGCATACCTTGAAAGCCATTATTTAGGCTGGGTAACAGAGGGACGTTATCCGTTATATAGACTGGGGAACAGATGTCGTTAGCCATTATATAGACTGGGTAACTGATGTCTTTAGTCGTAATATAGACTGGGGAACACATGTCGTTAGTCATTATACACACTGGGTAACTGATGTCTTTAGTCGTAATATAGACCGGGGAACACATGTCGTTAGTCATTATATAGAGTGGGTAACAGATGTCTTTAGTCATGATATAGACTGGGGAACACATGTCGTTAGTCATTATACACGCTGGATAACAGATGTCTTTAGTCGTTATATAGACTGGGGAACACATGTCGTTAGCCAATTTACACACTGGGTAACAGATGTCTTTAGTCGTAATATAGACTGGGGAACACATGTCGTAAGTCATTATACACACTGGGTAACAGATGTCTTTAGTCGTAATATAGACTTGGGAACACATGTCGTTAGTCATTATATAGAGTGGGTAAAAGATGTCTTTAGTCGTGATATAGACTGGGGAACACATGTTGTTAGTCATTATACACACTGGGTAACATATGTCTTTAGTCGTAAAATAGACTGGAGAACACATGTCGTCAGTCATTATATAGGCTGGGTAACAGATATCATTAGTCGTGATATAGACTGGGGATCACATGTCGTTAGTCATTATACATGCTGGGTAACAGATGTCTTCAGTCGTAATAAAGACTGGGGAACACATGTCTTAAGTCATTATACACACTGGGTAACAGATGTCGTTAGTGATTATACACACTGAGTAACAGATGTCTTTAGTCATGATATAGACTGGGTAACAGATGTCTTTAGTCGTGATATAGACTGGGGAACACATGTTGTTAGTCATTATACACACTGGGTAACAGATGTCGTTAGTGATTATACACACTGAGTAACAGATATCTTTAGTCATGATATAGACTGGGTAACAGATGTCTTTAGTCGTGATATAGACTGGGGAACACATGTCATTAGTCATTATACACGCTGGGTAATAGATGTCTTTAGTCGTAATATAGACTGGGGAACACATGTCGTTAGTCATTATACACACTGGGTAACATATGTCTTTAGTCGTAATATAGACTGGGGAACACATGTTGTTAGTCATTATACACACAGAGTAACAGATGTCTTTAGTCATGATATAGACTGGGTAACAGATGTCTTTAGTCGTGATATAGACTGGGGATCACATGTCGTTAGTCATTATACACACTGGGTAACAGATGTCTTTAGTCGTAATATAGACTGGGGAACACATGTCGTTAGTCATTATACACACTGGGTAACAGATGTCTTTAGTCGTAATATAGACTGGGGAACAAATGTCGTTAGTCATTATACACACTGGGTAACATATGTCTTTAGTCGTAATATAGACTGGAGAACACATGTCGTTAGTCACTATAAACACTGGGGATCAGATGTCTTTAGTCGTAATATAGACTGGGGAACACATGTCGTTAGTCATTATACACGCTGGGTAACAGATGTCTTCAGTCGTAATATAGACTGGGGAACACATGTCTTAAGTCATTATACACACTTGGTAACAGATGTCTTTAGTCGTAATATAGACTGGGGAACACATGTTGTTAGTCATTATACACACTTGGTAACAGATGTCGTTAGTCATTATACACACTGAGAGACAGATGTCTTTAGTCGTGATATAGACTGGGGAACACATGTCGTTAGTCATTATACACACTGGGTAACAGATGTCTTTAGTCGTGATATAGACTGGGGAACACATGTCGTTAGTCACTATAAACACTGGGGATCAGATGTCTTTAGTCGTAATATAGACTGGGGAACAGATGTCATTAGTCCATATACACACTGGGTAACATATGTCTTAAGTCAGTATACACACTGGGTAACAGACGTCTTTAGTCGTAACATAGACAGGGGAACACATGTCTTAAGTCAGTATACACACTGGGTAACAGATGTCTTTAGTCGTAACATAGACAGGGGAACACATGGCTTAAGTCATTATACACACTTGGTAACATATGTCTTTAGTCGTAATATAGACTGGGTAACAGATGTCTTTAGTCAGTATACACACTGGGTAACAGATGTCTTTAGTCGTAATATAGACTGGGTAACAGATGTCTTTAGTCATTATACACACTGGGTAACAGATGTCTTTAGGTGTAATATACACTGGGTAATAGATGCCTTTATTCGTAACATAGACTGGGGAGCACATGTGTTTAGTCATTATACACACTGGGTAACAGATGTCTTAAGTCGTATTATAGACTAGGTAACATATGTCTTTAGTCAGTATACACACTGGGTAACAGATGTCTTTAGTCGTAATATAGACTGGGTAACAGATGTCTTTAGTCAGTATACACACTGGGTAACAGATGTCTTTAGTCGTAATATAGACTGGGTAACAGATGTCTTTAGTCATTATACACACTGGGTAACAGATGTCTTTAGGTGTAATATACACTGGGTAATAGATGCCTTTATTCGTAACATAGACTGGGGAGCACATGTGTTTAGTCATTATACACACTGGGTAACAGATGTCTTAAGTCGTATTATAGACTAGGTAACATATGTCTTTAGTCAGTATACACACTGGGTAACAGATGTCTTTAGTCGTAATATAGACTGGGTAACAGATGTCTTTAGTCAGTATACACACTGGGTAACAGATGTCTTTAGTCGTAATATAGACTGGGTAACAGATGTCTTTAGTCGTAACATAGACTGGGGAACACATGTCTTAAGTCATTATACACACTGGATGTTTGTGCCCTTCGTGTGGATGTTTGTGGCCTCCGTGTGGATGTTTGTGGCCTCCGTGTGGATGTTTGTGCCCTCCGTGTGGATGTTTGTGCCCTCCGTGTGGATGTTTGTGGCCTCCGTGTGGATGTTTGTGCCCTCCGTGTGGATGTTTGTCCGCTCCGTGTGGATGTTTGTGCCCTCCGTGTGGATGTTTCTCCCATTGTGGATGTTTGTGGCCTCCGTGTGGATGTTTGTGCCCACTGTGTGGATGTTTGTGCCCTCCGTGTGGATGTTTGTCCCCTCCGTGTGGATGTTTGTGCCCACTGTGTGGATGTTTGTCCCCTCCGTGTGGATGTTTGTCCCCTCCGTGTGGATGTTTGTGGCCTCCGTGTGGATGTTTGTGCCCACTGTGTGGATGTTTGTCCCCTCCGTGTGGATGTTTGTCCCCTCCGTGTGGATGTTTGTGGCCTCCGTGTGGATGTTTCTCCCATTGTGGATGTTTGTGGCCTCCGTGTGGATGTTTGTGCCCACTGTGTGGATGTTTCTCCCATTGTGGATGTTTGTGGCCTCCGTGTGGATGTTTGTGCCCACTGTGTGGATGTTTGTGCCCTCCGTGTGGATGTTTGTCCCCTCCGTGTGGATGTTTGTGCCCACTGTGTGGATGTTTGTCCCCTCCGTGTGGATGTTTGTCCCCTCCGTGTGGATTTTTGTGGCCTCCGTGTGGATGTTTGTGCCCTCCGTGTAGATGTTTCTCCGCTCCGTGTGGATGTTTGTGCCCTCCGTGTGGATGTTTCTCCCATTGTGGATGTTTGTGCCCACTGTGTGGATGTTTGTCCGCTCCTTGTGGATGTTTCTCCCATTGTGGATGTTTGTGTCCTCCGTGTGGATGTTTGTCCGCTCCGTGTAGATGTTTGTGCCCTCCGTGTGGATGTTTGTGCCCTCCGTGTGGATGTTTGTGCCCACTGTGTGGATGTTTGTGCCCTCCGTGTGGATGTTTGTGCCCTCCGTGTGGATGTTTGTGCCCTCCGTGTAGATGTTTATCCCAGACCTGTGTCCCGAGGAGCGAATGCTTTAACCACGAGGCTACCCCACCACCCCGTTCTTCAGATAAATAACATCATACATGATATTTTATTACTTTCCGTCGATAAACACGCATCTGTGAGCTATTGTTTTGTGTTTAAGGAAGTTGGCCTATTTTGTTTACAATTTAACTTTTTTTATATTTAATTTTCACACAACATTTAAAGTGAAGCAAATTTCGAGAAAGCCGTGTGTCCCTGATCTTTGTCAAGATAAGCCAGACTTGCCAAATAGTGAAGGTTAAGCGAGAAGCAACCAAGCTAAAGAGGCTAACAATTCGACAATTTCAAATTTCGTTGTCAGTTAAAATTGAGTTAATTGTAAAATTCATGGTCAATAAAATATCATGCACCCCTTGAGAAGATTGTGTTCGAACGAGAGTTATTAAAACCGTAAGCTCAAAGTCGTGGAGGGGTGGGGCAGCCTAGTGGTTAAAGTGTTCGCTCGTCACGCCGAAGACCCGGGTTCGATTCCCGACATGGGTACAATGTGTGAAGCCCATTTCTGGTGTCCCCTGCCGTGATATTGCTGGAATATTGCTAAAAGTAGCCTGAAACCAAACTCACTCAGTCAAATTCGAATGAATATAGTATTAAAACACTGCAAAAGGTTCTCCTGATTCATCAGATCGCCATATACTTCACCCTCTATTAACAGAATAAGATTATATCACTTTGGGGACGGTCAACTATTACCGGGGGTGGGGATGGGGTGGTTGGGGTTGGTGGGTGGCAAATGTACTGACAAATAATTACCCTCCCCTAATGCTTGTCATATTTTTTTTACCCTCCCGATGTCCCTATGCATTTGGTTCACGACCCTCCCTGAAAAGACTAAATGCAGATGCACTTTATTCTATTACGTGACGCCAACGTGACGGCCTAGATATCAGCCTTGTTGCACCTGTTATCATACCTTCGGGTGATAGCTCGGATTCAGATACGTCAACTAGTCAGATGCTGGCAAAAGCAAATATCTGTAGAACAACAAATACTTCTTGATCAACACCAACCTACCAAACTCATTTATAGCTTTTACTTCTTCAGTCATTTTTCCAAGGAAATTTAATACAATAATATATCATCTGCTCCCCTGTCAACGCATAGCTCAATAAAATACAATAACAGCAATATTTTGAGACCACCCCTAAATGAAAGCACACGCTGGAAGAGGTGTCAGGTGATTGCCTCCGGCTATAGGCCGTTTCATACATGCATGACAACACACAAATATTTTCTAAGTTTATCATCATTTAACCAGTAAAACACACTCATTCCGTCATTAATACATAAGCACAATCTAACAAAATGTGCTTAATAGTGGGTTGAACATTACAAACAATTCTTAGCCATAATGACACACCGAGTTTAAATTGATAGCGACGTGAGCAATATTTCAGCCCTTTTGTGATTTGAAGGTTGTCAATGCGTTCAGTTTTGTAGTAAACTAAAGTTCAGATACCGTACATAGGCATCACTTTTCCATAACCATATACGTAGCCTAATTGACATAAAAGCTCCCTCATAATAACCGCCTCCATCCTTTAGACCTGCATCAGTGTGTACAGTCCTAACGGGCGAAGAGTCAAGAAAGAGTGTCGTGCCATTTCCGTCTGCAGGAAAGATAGCCACCAATGAATATCGTCATGTAAGAATGCAGAGAACTTTTCAGATCAACAATTCTCCTCAAAATGTTCCTTATCCTTTTATAGCCATACTTGCGCTCTCTAATTAGACTTTCCAATTGCTTTTTCGTTGCGCGTTTCCTATAGCGGAACCGTTGCAAGAAACCACCCTTTCGAATATGTTTAATTGCATGTTTACTATCCATATGGGAACAAACACAATCTTCCATGAAATTATTCATGTCACAATTAACAGGAAGTCTACCTCGTGAATGAGTCGTACTTTATCTTCGGATTTAGGAAGCACACCAAGCGGGCTCACAATGTAAGTTCTATTCTTTAACACATAATTACCAAGATCTAGTTCTTCCTTATTTGTTTTTCTGCTTCAAACATAAACTGATATGACGATCTATGATCCCGAGTAAAACAATTTGTTACAGTAATATGTTTATGGTTAACTAACTTAAAGCCTACCCTTACCCTCTCCAAACTAGTGGCGGTCGGGTAGCCTGGTGGTTAAAGCGTTCGCTCGTCACGCCGAAGACCCGGGTTCTATTCCCGACATGGGTAAAATGTGTGAAGTCCATTTCTGGTGTCCCCCGCCGTGATATTGTTGGAATATTGCTAAAAGCGGCGAAAAATCAAACTCACTCACTCACTCTCTAAACTATAATCTCTATTAGGGCCTCTCCCAGGACTCAGGCTTCAGTATTTTGCCTCCAATCTACCTTGTGTTCTAAATTCATGCGACACGTGAAGATTCCTGGGTAGAATAGGTCTTCAGCAACCCATGCTTGCCGTAGAAGGTGACTATGCTTGGCGTAAAAGGCGACTAACGGGGTCGGGTGGTTGATGAATGTCATCGATCCCAATTGCGTGGATCGATGCTCACGATATTAATCACTGGATTGTCTGGTCCAGACTCGATTATTTACAGACCGCCGTCATGTAGCTGGAATATTGCTGAGTGCGGCGTTAAACAACAACCCAAACCCAAAAATCTACATTCATGCAACTGGGAGGACCAGCTGGATCATTTCCACGTTGCATCTGACCGTGACCAGGCTTGAAACCCATCGTGCAAGCTATTACCACCATGATCTTCACCCAAGGCGGTTCCACTCAGTCTCACGTCCAAAGCTTCGACGCCCAGCTCAGCGACAAACTCCAATTAAATATGAGTAAGGTATGGGCAAAGGGAACTAACTCTAACTATCATCAAACATACATTTGTCGTTACAAAATACAACAATAATTAAGCAAAGGGTCAAACATATAACATTGTTCGGATATGACAGAACCAGATGATTTATACTACACAAAAAGGGTTTTAGTCAGTGACATATTTTGCATTCAACCTATACTGCTTGTGTCAGAATTCTGTCCCTTACATGGACCCATACATCACTGTGAGGATCAGGAAAGTCATCAAGTTGAATGATATCCTCCTCGTCTGTTACATTCAGCAGTAGTTCAGGAAGTCGACCACGGTTCACGTTTCCCACCATGAGCAGAATCACTCTGTTAGGGTTGAGGTTGGAAATGTAGTAAGCTGTTGACTTAATGATAAAGTAGGACCAGGGGTCATCCAGGAAATCGTTGGACACAACCAGTACTGTCTTCCAGCTCTTGTTAATGCTTTCTACAACATGGTCAGCTACAAACTGACCAGGTAGGAAATCTCTGTGGGGCAGAATAAGCTTCAGTCCAAGTAGATCCTCCAGCCCTTTACGTAGATCTTGCATTACAAACTGAAGCTCTTCATCCGAGTGGGCTACGTAAGCATCTTTGTTGAAGTTTTGTCTAGTGACCCGCTGGATCCCACGACCCATGAGGACCAAAATGTGATGTGCAATCCTTGTCCAGTTCCGTGACACCAGCATGGCAGACACAAGTAGAAGAGCTATTAAACACATCAGTGTTATGGAGACTGGCAGCCAAAATCGACCTTGACATGATGTCCAGTGGTAATTAAAGTCGTTGTACACTGTATGGGTTGTTCTAAGAGCACCATATTCAGTAACACATGAATAGTTCCAACAACAGGGGATCGGACGGGTATTTCAACAACATGTGATGGGTCGAGCATTACAACAACAGGGGGTCAGACGTGTATTTCAACAACAGTGGATCGGACGAGTGTTTCAACAACAGGGGGTCAGACGAGTATTTCAACAACAATGGGACGTGTAAGGATCGCAATGAATTTCAATGTCAATTCATCCAAGATCAAAAGTTTTATTCACATTCTCATTTCCATTCTCATTCTCAATTGTACATATGTCATATGTCAAACATCATATTTCATGGAGAATATAATTCAATGTTATCGTTAGTTCATGTTCAAATACAGTTCATAATATGCATTACATCTTATCATCATCAATTATCAACAAATACCCAAAACCTTATCCTCGTTGGAGTTGGAAGATCGACTGCAAAGGAAAACTAAACAATCATAAGTTTGCAGTTCAATATGTAAACAAAACAATAACAATGTATGAAAATTACTGAAACAACAAAACTTGACAAATGACATTAAATTGTACCAAAATAATTACAAGAGCATTTGCACAGAAAGAAAATGCATAATATAATGTTATATGATGCAATTTAAATTGAAAATACTTGATGAAAATACAACTTAAAATTTACTAGAATGTAAACATTAGTGATTGAAAACTGAACACATTATCTTTACGTCAGAAAAAAAAGTTACAAATACAACATTTTGGGAATTAAAATTGCTACAGAAATATATTGACAATGGAAAAGAAATACAAATGCATGAAAACACACCATTTTGGCAGACCCATATTCTTTTAATTCATTCTTTTCTTATTTTTTACCGCATGGGTCCTAATTCTCTCAATGCATAAACTAAAAAGCATGGCATTAAGCCTTAACAGACTTACGTCCCTTGGTATCCTGAAGCATATATAAAATAACATTCTTTTTACTGCTAAATTTGGAATGAAAATTGAAGAAAATGTTAAACTTTAATAATTTGGAAAAAATAATAGAAATTATTTTAGAGATGCTATTTTTTTACCGTAACAGGACGAGCATTTCCACAACATGTGGTGGGGCGAGTATTTCAACAACAGGGGGGTCAGACGAGTATTTCAACAACATGTGGTGGAACGGTTATTTCGACAACAGGGGGGGGGGGGGGGGGAGTATTTCAACATGTGTTTGGACGAGTATTTCAACAACATGCGTTTGGACCAGTATTTCGGGGCACTTAGCCATCAGATTCCATCTCTCTGGCAACACAGGGATGCAACCTTCGGGAAACAGGTTGCCCAATTTAGCCATCTCTTTCAACCAGCAGGTGGATAAAAGGGGCAACCCCCGACCCTGGGTCCCCACGGGCAAATAGTATAAGTATATTTCATGCAGTAACTGTTCAAATAAATAACATAGTTTGGATATGACAGAACCAGATGATTTATACTACACAAAAAGGGTTTTAGTCAGTGACATATTTTGCATTCAACCTATACTGCTTGTGTCAGAATTCTGTCCCTTACATGGACCCATACATCACTGTGAGGATCAGGGAAGTCATCAAGTTGGATGATATCGTCCTCGTCTGTTACATTCAGCAGTAGTTCAGGAAGTCGACCACGGTTCACGTTTCCCACCATGAGCAGAATCACTCTGTTAGGGTTGAGGTTGGAAATGTAGTAAGCTGTTGACTTAATGATAAAGTAGGACCAGGGGTCATCCAGGAAATCGTTGGACACAACCAGTACTGTCTTCCAGCTCTTGTTAATGCTTTCTACAACATGGTCAGCTACAAACTGACCAGGTAGGAAATCTCTGTGGGGCAGAATAAGCTTCAGTCCAAGTAGATCCTCCAGCCCTTTACGTAGATCTTGCATTACAAACTGAAGCTCTTCATCCGAGTGGGCTACGTAAGCATCTTTGTTGAAGTTTTGTCTAGTGACCCGCTGGATCCCACGACCCATGAGGACCAAAATGTGATGTGCAATCCTTGTCCAGTTCCGTGACACCAGCATGGCAGACACAAGTAGAAGAGCTATTAAACACATCAGTGTTATGGAGACTGGCAGCCAAAATCGACCTTGACATGATGTCCAGTGGTAATTAAAGTCGTTGTACACTGTATGGGTTGTTCTAAGAGCACCATATTCAGTAACACATGAATAGTTCCCATTGCTGTCAAAGGTAACCGACGATGAAAATATCCACCGAACAAACAAGAGAGACTGGCATGAGCAGGAGAGAGGGTTTCCTTTCAGCCTCAGGACCAGCTTGTTCTTCTGTCCGAGACTCTCCAACATATCCATTGTGTCGTCGTCAAAGTAGGTGATGGAGTTCACTGATAGATCCAGGATGTGCAGGTCAGGCAGGTCATTGTGTTCAAAAGGAACAGACACAAGGTTATTTCTGGACA